CATCCATTATGACAAATTTTCTTTATCTATACACCTTAGGTTATCACCAATGATAGAGAATACAATATCGATTGACACGTGATCGTGGAATTCTCATCACTTTCCATTCATCTGTCTTACTCATCTGTCTTACGTGGATAAAGATTTAGACAAGCACAAATTTTCTTCTCATCCATTATGACAAGGAAAGTAATTATAAGTTTTCTTCTCATCCATTATGACAAGAAATATAATATAACGAGGATGACAATCACAATTGATATTTTAAACCTAATGCAAGAGACTCCTTTTGAGCTATTCAAACTCACATTTGATGACCTTTGATTACTAACTTGATTTCGATTTTGGTCAAAAAAATCTCTTTTGATTTCGGTCTTCGTGCAAGTAACACCTTCAAAGCTTTACGTTTTCACTTCGGAGGCACTTCGGACAACCTTACACGTATGGGTTTGAACCACATTGAGCTAATCAAAACGTCAACGATATTTTCTTCTAATAACTAATGTTTCCCGAATTTTCTACACATAAAATCACTAAAAAGTTACCTTTTTGCCTAATTTTTTAAAACGAAAACCAGGATTTTTATTATTTTACTAATGTGAAATTTGATATAATCCGTTTTTATATAAAAGTAAGTGTACATTATGTCACAGTAAAATTTATGCCCGAGTTGCATTGGTCGGTGCCCATGCTGGCTGACTTCCAATTGTAGCAATAGCTGATTACTTGCTCATGATCTCTTTCAAAGTTAACTGTAATGGTTTCGGGAGGAGTATAAAACTGAAAAAGGTGAGAAATTTTCAGTGGATTCGGAAAATAGGGAAGAGGATGGTTAACCTGCAATTGCCCTTAGGACATTAAACATGGAAGACTTGAAGGAAGCAGATAATCAGGTGAGTTTATGCTTTTGTTGCATTCTAGAAATCTTCATTTTAAGCATATCTGCATTTTAAAATTGCATGTTCAACATATTGAAGTGTTATAGTATTGCTTATCAATCAATCATGGTTGTTTGTTAACCTGTTCTAGATGGATGACAATTTGATCCAAAAATGAAACTTGATCAGACAGACTGGACAATGTCAATAGTATTATGGTTGATATGTTTATAATTCTAGTTTCAAACTTCTATATTGCAGCTTAGTTTTCTCACGAGTGTTGCATAGAACAAGGGGCATTGTTCTACATGCAGGGTTATTGTTAGTGCTGCCAAATACAACTTTGTGTCAATTTTGCTTGGGGCAAAAATTGTGCGCCAATGGAGCATATGAAATAAATAATTAGATGGTGATCCAAATAGATGAACAAGTTGTAGATAGTGATAAAAGGTTCATCTATAGATATGCAATAATATGTTCGCTTTAGTCTGATGTCAAAGGTTTTTAGCTAACAATCCTGGAATTCAGAAGTGTGCTACCATCCTTAGAGAGTGAAATAAGCTTTAGTCTGATGATGTCAAAGATATTCATGCGAAGCATGCTTGCCTGGATTTGTGCGTGGAGTATTGTCTGGATTTATAGAGTTCACCTTTTCTTTTTATTTTTTTGACTTTGTCATTCTTGATACAGATTTAAAGCATCTCAATTACGGAGAGTCAGTTTCTATATCCTTTTAATTGCTTTCTTCTGGTGAATTTTGTTGGTGACTTGGTCTAGTGATGTTTTGAGTTACAATTGGTGTGATTTTGTCGTGGCTGCTGTTTACTCCCTTTTGACTTGTCGCCCTCTACATCTTTTTGGCTGATGTTTGGGTGGCATTTTCTTATTCTTTACGTTTTTAGCATTATTCTTTCTTAGAGAGAGTTTGGTGGTTCTTGTCTTAATTCGTAATTAGTTGATTGTGGATGATGTATGACTACGGCTTCCATACAGGTCCATGTTCATCGCTTAATTGAAAATTTTTGAATCTTGTCTTTGTAGTATATTTCTGAAGTTCCGGCCTAATGACTTAATAATTCTTAGTTTCATCAAGGAAGAAAATGGTTCTTTATGGAAAATTTACTTAATAATTTACATAATAATTGTTTACTTGACATGCCTGCAAAGCAGCAAATTGTTCAACACCCTACTGATTAACCATTAAAATTGTTCAAAATTTTAACTGTAACGGAACATGACGGTGTTGAACAAGTGACATTGCGAATAAAAAAAAATCTCGCCATCGTCCTAAAACATCATCACTCTCTAAAATGTGAAATAAAAAACCTTAATAACAAAACCTTAATAACGCTCGAACACACACTCTCTCTCTCTCTCACTCACGCTCACTCACTCATTGGCCTTATTAAGGTCAAAACATAGAGAATCTTAAACGGAAGATGTATGGGACACTTACGATTTGCGCTTTTTTTCTTTCATAAACTCGAATCTTAAACGGAAGATGTATTTTTCTTGGCAGAAACATCGGTTGGCTTTCTTCAGGCGCGTCCACATCATATTAAAGCAAATTAAAGTTTGTCTTCCGTTTTTTTTTTCTTTTCTTTTTTGTGTGCGCCCTATAAATCAGGAATAAGAAAGTTCAAAAGCCCTAGCATATATATCTTAATGAATCATAAATTTCTACCATCATGCCATATTGACAAATTAAAAAAACTTGGAATCATGGGCCAAAATAATTTCTACCATCATAATGTAAATATTAATTTGAAACCTTTTTTTTACAACTAATGAATCATAAATTAAAGATACTTCTACTATTGCATTATTCAACTAATGAATCATAAATTAAAGATACTTGTACTATCTATGTAACATAATGTAAATATGAATGTGGTCACCAGAAGTTTCCCCAACAAGTGTTTTTCTGCATCATTTTGTCTATCTAGTTTGAACCTCCTCTCACTAGACTGATGCAGCACTCTTCGTATTACTGTATGCATCTAGCTCAACTAATAATGATGACATAAAATTAGACCAGATGTGTTGGTTGACAGGTGTGTATTTTGTCCCCACGAACTGCTACAGGGAAGAAATTTAATTTCTGTGACACAGATTATCATCATTCATATAACTGATGCATGCAATCTTAACACCCTCCCTAGCCACTCATTATGACATAAAAAGATCAAATTTATAGCCAAATCCTAAATCAAACTCATTGTCTTCCCTGAACCTGAACCCCGAATCTCCAGAGGATTGGTCATTCACCCTGTGGAAGCAAAAGTAAGACTACCAATGTTATGACTGGAGGTCAGGAAGTATGCATAAAGGCCATTGCCTTTATCCCGGAACATGGTGAAAAAAAGACAATTAAATAATGAAAGAAACATTTCTTTTAAATTCGGACAGATCAAAACCAACAAGCAACCATAGATCTAATAAATTTGATTTTAGTAATTCATATTTCTATGTATATCAGAACTTCCCCAAATGGACGAGAAAATTTATATACAGCTAAACACAAATATATCTTGTTCCTTCTGACAGCTACAATATCAAGTTTATCTAACCTATTTAATTAGGTGTTTCTGGTTCATCAAATATCTTTGGCTTGTCCAAACCTGGAACAATGGAAATGATATGAACCTGTCATTGGAGAACATGAAAATTGTTTTGTCGTTTGAAATTGACATTTCAAAACAAAAAAGCAAACAGAACAGACCGCTATCATCAATCACAACATCAACTCTTGTCTTTAGGCTGATTTGTTTGTATCATTGATAAAGTACAAGATTATCAGTCACCATATCATCAACAGTTCCAATTCTGCAAGATCTTCTATCATGTAGCATGTTACTGGACTTAACAAATTTCCAATTTTGTGTTAGTTAAATGGTTTACCTAAATAGCCTTTACCTTTTCTTAAAGCTCTGAAAATAATGTATATATACACACAGCAGCAAACCGAAATTTCATATTCTTATTGAGGATTCTTTTTGATATCTTCCATAGGACAAAGATGGAAAAGAAGGAAATCCACTGACCATGAAAAAAGATTTACTCCACAGAAAACATGAAATTGTTATGATAAGCTTCAAATGTGGATCAATTTTTATGATATCTAGGTAGTTACAAGATCCTCCAAGATGATGCCAAACGACTAACAAATGAATATAAACCCTAACACGCTCATATAATCCTAAACATCACATGTATAAAACCATAACGTAGATTCTACAGAATCAGATATTTAGTGAAAATGGCATACAATTCAATGCTAATGCTTGGAATGATAATACCAACATAAGTATGATCCATGTCATAAAAACCTGGAATAGCTCCCAGCTACCACATTAACATTATCAAAGACGAGATACTTCGTTCAGGATAAGGAAGAGTTCAAAGCAAAATAAAGTGGTCATAACAAGGACTGGAGCCACAGTGTACCTTTTTGCCTATAGGAACTTTTTGTCTTTCAATGGTCCCCTAGGTATCTTGCTCAAATACTTGGCCTGAAAAACTGCATAGTGCTTCTTGAACTCCACTGATGCTTTCTCGGCAAACGCATCAACTTTGTCTTCATACTTATCATATAAGAAAGGCAGAGTGTGCAGCGTGACAAAGACTTCATCAGAAGCAAAGCAGAACAATGTTCAGATACAATGCAAAGGTAAACATAGATCTAGATTATTAAAAAAAAAGAATCTGAGATCACATTACCTATATAAAACAAAGTCAAGAAATTGCAGCACCTCCCGACGGTTGAAAGAACCCACAGCCCAGCAATCACCTGAACCCAAAAAGTCAAATCAGGACCAAACCAAAATAATTCGGAACACCAAAATCTCTTTTAGAAGTATATCAAGCACCATACAATGAGGAACTTCTTCAGATCACGTCCTGTTGCAATTTCCCTTAAAACAGCAAAACCCCTATTGATCTCATATCTGAGAGAAAGTGCAATGTCCACCACCAGATTTTCAGGAATGCTCACCACAGGAATGTGAGGTGGAGACCTACTATGAAGAAAGCATGTGTAAGTGATTGGACAGTTACATCTGATTCAAAGGCAGATCATAAGAAACAAAACTAGTAGTAATTCCCTCACTTGTTGATCAAGAAAGTAGCATTTGACCAGAGGAAAATGATAGCAAGAGACAATATAAGGCAGTGGCAGAACAAAGTAAGTAAATGGTATTCCATCAACTCAAAAAAGATCCAGATAGCCGTGGCCCCACCAAGCACAGCAGCAGAGGCTTTCTTGTTCTTCCACAGGAAAACATCAGCAGCTGTTGAACGTTCAGAAATTTAGATTATTTGAGAACTCATACCAACAAAAGATTTCCAGATCCATGGACGATTCAATCATTTATGCAAAAGATTATATATGAACTATCAACATATTTCCAAATAATACCAAGGTTGATGACTTTAATAACCAAGAAACAAGAATAACTGTTTCAGATAAATCTCAAAGGGAATAGATTTAAGAATCTGGATGAATATGGAACAGGATCATCACTGGTAGCAATAAACCAAGTTAGGACTCTATGTTCCTTCAAAAATGCTGGTGATCTTGACCTGGATCGCTATCAGTACAAAAAGATCAAGTTAAGGTTTACGTTCTTTTGAAACTTTTAACTAGAAAGGTTAAAGGTTATAAGCTATCAGTACATTTACTAGTGATCTTAACCTGGATCGCCATCTGCGCAAAAAGATCAAGTTAGGGTTTATGTTATTTCGAGACTTTTAATTAGAATGGTAAGAGGTTGTAAGCTATCAGTACATTTACTAGTGATATTAACCTGGATCGTAATCACTACAAAAAGATCAAGTTGGGGTTTGTGTTCTTTCCCTCAGCGCAAAAAGATCGAGTTAGGGTTTATGCTATTTCGAGACTTTGAATTAGAAAGGTTTAAAGGTTGTAAGCTATCGGTACATGTACTAGTGATCTCGACCTGGATCGCTATCAATACAAAAAGATCAAGTTGGGGTTTATGTTCTTTCCGTCGGCGCAAAATGATCGAGTTAGGGTTTATGTTATTTCGAGACTTTTAATTAGAAAGGTTAAATGTTGTAAGCTACCGGTACATTTACAAGTGATCTTGACCTGGATAGCTATCAATACAAAAAGTTCATGTTGCGGTTAATGTTCTTTCGAACTCTTTTAATTAAAGAGGTTAAAGGCCGTAAGCTTTTCTTTCACCGTTTCAAGAAATTAGATGCAAATCCAAGTAAATCATGTCTACGGCGAGAATCCAGACAGATCGCAAGCGCAATAGAACTCCAAGATCGCAGCTAACAATAACTGCGTAGATCGGAGTACTCAAGATCTCATTCAAGAAAGGGAGAAAACGAAGGTGGGAAAGAAAGATCATACGCTTTCCGCCGCCCAAGATCTGGTGGACGGGCTTCTCCCGGCCGAAGAGGCGGTTGATCTTAGACTTGACGGCCTCCGTCACCACCGACGCCTTCGACTTCTCGTCGTCAGAGTCCGAGGACGACGAGGAGTCAACGCCGTCACGTATCTTCTCCGTTACCTGCTCGATCAAGGTCTCCTCCGCGTGCTCCGCCATCGCCGGAATCGCCTCCCCCAAACCCTCTCTTTCTCTGCTTTCCCCCTTACGCTCTCCCACTTCTCGAGATTCTTTCTCGACAGGAACTTGTCCGCGGCCAATGAGGAGGGCTTAATACCAGAATAAGACTCACAGATGCCATCGTGACCGTCTGATCGAAAAGGTAAAGACGACATGACGTCGACGTTACCTAACGGACTGCCTTCCGCCGTCATCTCCCGTAAAGCGGGCAAGCCATCCTCCGTCACGCCCGTTGTGTAAACTTACAACAACTTCAGGTTACGATAAAATAGGCCAAGCCCATCAAAGGGTCCCGCTTGTGCATGCCAATGAAGAGCTGCCAAGTGGCCACGTCGTTAGGGAGCGAAGTATGACGCTGGACCCCACCACGACAAAACTTACGGGGCAATGAAGCGACACGTCGGACGATGGAAGATTCTAGAGGGTTCGGGGACACGGAGATTCCGACGCCGTGGTTGGCGAAAGGTATATTATATTCGAGGAAATTGGTACGACAAAATGGTTGGAAAAAATGAATAAATGAAACTAAGTGTCTTCTAGTGACCGTCCGATAAAGATTGTACCGATACCGACCATCGAATTTGAAGCGTCGAAACCATACACAGTCACAGAACATGAATCACTCTATCATCATCTTAGTTAACATCTTGATTCTATAGATTGCTACTGAATCATTTCGGAGACAAACAAAACATATCGGAAAGCCAATACAATAATACAACATGCACTCATAAACAAAACCATTTTGGCCTGAATTATATATATATACACACACACAAATATATTCTGTTCTAATGCTATAATTGATTTTTCTTTGTTTTTGCTCATCAGCATCCGTTGGAAAAATGATGATCAAGGCTATACAATCATTCCACGGGACATGTAAATGAGTATGCGATCAGAAATGCTCCTTGTGGAAGTCGAACCTGGTGGTGCCCCTCTGGTTGTGGTCGTAGCAGATCTTGCTTAGCTCCTGCGCCAAAACCGGCGCACCGCAGTAGAACACTCCTGTGGCCGATTCACACGCCATGGTTTCAGGTCCTACATATATTATAAGCTGCTACTTTTCTCGGAGAAGAAAGACTGTGACTTTGGACTCACCTATCTTGGCATGGGGGTGCTTGGAGCATATCTTGGAGAAGACTCTCTTCCAATTAGGCCGAGCGAAATGAGTTCTCACCTACAAACATTAAGAAGATTTGTTTAGTGTGATAGGATACCGAAACTAGAGAGTGCAGGTGGAGTTTACCCGGGTGCCGGAGACAATATCGACGCCGTTCTTGGCATGATTGAGAGCTTGGATCATGGTGATCAGTGCAGATCTGGCGTCTCCTTCTTCGTACACACTCGTCAAGTAATTGTGCATCTCAATCACGCCCTAATCATCCGTTTGAATCAGCAAAGATACGTGAGCTGTGGATTACAATCGGGAAACTTTGTTGACTTACCCTTTGATCTAACTCGGCCACTTCGTTCATAACTCCTTTAAACCAGTCGAAGGACCCCTGTTCTCGTGTCACCCAGTAGAAGTATGCGTTGGTCGTTCTGAGAGCCCACCGTACTCTCCTCGACGCCCTCATCAGCGTCGCCAAATCGACACGCTCCCCGTTCTGTGGCTTTGGTGGGCGGTAGTCCGAGAGCGCGTCCTGCAAAATTATCACATGAAGTCTTCCAGAATGGATGAAGAAGATGGAGGCTAGAAAGTTCGTTTGAACGAGGAATGCGGTGCTCACGTTTTCCTCTTCCATTTTGACTATGTTGTTCAGGAGATCCTTCAGGATGCTGATGAAAGGAGTTGCACCGATTCCGAGGCCGACGAGAAGAAGGACGTCGTACTTCTTGTAGTCCTGAGCTGAAGCACCGTAAGGCCCGTCTATCAAAAGCTTCGGCAGGCTGCAATTACGAGGAGCTCTGCTTATGAGACGTCACTACGAACGTTATATTAAACCCTTCGTTCGGCGCACGCACCTTTTCTTGGTGGCCTCGTCTGCTCTCAGAAGGCCACTCTTTCCGGCCACCGGAGGTTCACAGGCTGCTGCGAAGACCCGCTTTAATTCTCGTGTCCAGTCACCGAGTTGTCGAATGTGGACGCTTAGGTAGCTATCCCCCGGCGCAGAAGTAATGGAGAAAGGATGCCTGGGAACATAGAAAGAAAACATGGCGTGCTTGTGGTACGAATGAAAAGCGATGAGGAAGACAATCTTAACATCTCAGGCATTAATTACCATTCGAAGGGCGATACAGCAGGGCACTGAACAAACATGTACTGACCACTCTGGTAGCGGAACGCGGAGGGCTTTGACATTTGGAGCGTCAGAACATTGCCGGGATATATAGCGACCTGATTACAGAGCTCAGTTAGTGGAAGCACGAACTAGCATTAGAGAATCCTTCTTCAATGCTATGCAAATTTCTACGGTTGCAGAATCAGTGAGCTACGTACCTTCAGGAGCCGAACCGAGTAATAGCCGGACCTAAGGGCTCTCAGGCTCCTCTCCCCAACGTAGAGCAGAACAGGAGCTGCTAGATACATCCATGTCTGCATCGCAGAACAAGGTTTAGCATCGCCAAGAACTCGGTGACAAGGTTGCGAGGATGAGAGAGATTTACCGTCTTGTTGTACCACTTGTGGATGAGGTAGAGGCATTCTCCGTGGACGATGAGCAACACGTAGACGATGACAAACAGGTGGTGGGAGTACCAGAAGGCGTTGAAGCCGGTGAGCCTGTCGAAGGGCTTGGGGAACCTCACCAGGCTCCGGCGGAACCAGTGCGTGGCGAGTGTGAAGGCCACCACCATGCAGACCAACATTATGATCCCGGTCACACCCTCGGGGCCTCGCACGAGATCCATGTACGTGGGCTTGGTTTCTCCAAAGTAAGGCCGCAACATGTTGTACTTGTCAGCCGACGACGATATCAGCCGCGGAAAGTCGCAGGTGACATGGTTGCCGGCGTGGAGGATCACGCCGACCATGATTGCCGCCGCTATCGCCTAAACTTAATCACGCAAACGGTCAGTCAGTAGCAGGATTTCGATCCACCGCCTGTAAATTTATTTTTCTTGGACCGACTTAAAGCTTCCTTGGTAGGTATAACCTTATGGAAGTTGATATTGTCGTCGAAGGGCAGAGCACGGGCCAGCCGGGTGGAGCGAAGCCAGGTGATGGTGTTTCGGCACACCGGGAGAAGAACGAGGGCCATGTTGAGCTTGAGCGTCTCGGCCGCGCCCTTGGCGGTGGTGAGGCAGTACCCCATCACCTGGAACGCGTACCTGTGCCGGTACTGGATGAACTTCCAGGCGAACAGGCCGGCCATCACCCCGACCCACAGCGCCATCACCCACAGCCGCTTCCAGTTCTCCTCCAAGTAGTAGCCCAGCTTCGTGCTCAGCTTCCGGATGGGCCCCTTCTTCCTCAGCCCGGCCAGGTTCTGACTCAACGCTTGGCTGGTGTAGCTCAGCGCCTGACTGTAGTTAAGGTACGTATCCTTTTGAAGCAACAATGTCTCCAGTTGCCACAGCTGCAAAATTAAAGCAGGGACAAATGTTGGAAAACGACGCAATACGATCTATTAATCGAACTCAATTATTGAGAACGATGGTTTCATATTCCAGCAATCTTGCTTTTCTTCGCAATAACGCCACCAGCAAAAAGCCAGTGATTTGGATGACACTGATCCAAGAACGCCACCAGCGACAGCCGACAGCCGTTCAACCACTACGGTGGTGGTATCTTAGAAAACACCAAATAGCATCATCATCCTCATCCAGCAAGGCAATTTCGACATGGTTTTCGACGTTCTAGAAGCCTAGAGGTCATGTATAGGTAGGTATACGCTGAAGGCAGTGTAAAGCAAGATACGTCTACATGCCTTGCGTGGTGCAGAGGAAGAAACAAGAAGTCAACGAATCATGGAAGGAGAAGAAGAAGAAGAAGAAGTCTACCTGCCTTAGGTGGCCACAATGATATTTACAAGAGAGAGTCTGGGATTCGGACCTCGATATAGCCGAGCCGCTCGGGATCCAGCTCCTCCATGATTAAGGCTGCGTATTCCTCGGCCTGTTCTTTCAGCCTCGACAGCTTATTTGCGGACGCACTCAGCATTATGATCTGGAAAGCAACGCTGGTCCATTAGAAGAGAAAGATAATGAAATCCAACGTCAAAGTCTTCTTCTTACTTTGACTTATTGCGCCTCTCACCTACCGCTGGTGGTGACAGAGTGAGTAATCGTGTTTTTTTCATGCATCTTAGATCAAGTCACAACCTTTCCCCTCTTATTTCCACATGCAAACATTTACGTGTTGATATAGAAACCATAGTAATAAAATTCTGGAGCCTAAGATGTATTGGGAAAGAGCAGATAGGTTCCGCTCACCAACTCGATCACCGTGTATCTGATTGCTTCGATCGATGCAATCGGATACACACACGAATTCACGATTCAACGAGGAAAACAGAGGAAGAAGAAGATCTGATGCAGTGTACTTGCCTCTTTAACTTCCTCCTCGGTGATCCGGCCGTCCTCGTTCTTGTCCACCCTGACAACCACAGAAGGGTCGATCCATAATCTCATGCGAATTCTTTAAAGGGAGTTTAGATTATTACATGTCGAAGAAGATCTGGAGGCGAGAATCGAAGCTTTGATCCGTGATCTGACACCAGAACTCGTACAGCTCCTCTTTAGTGATGCGCTCCGCGTTTAACCTTCTTCTCCTGCTCAATGCGTCGAACAGCTCCAGCGCGAACTCCTTGGAATCTTTCATGCCTGCGTCCGATTTGCTGGTTTTAGTTGAGTGAATCACCCGATTGATCGGGGTCAAATGGAAGAGTGTGCCGGGTCGGAACGGAAACCTATGCATTGGGCGAAATCGGAGCGCGAGAGATAGCCGTCGCGCGCGAGCTTGTCGAAGTTGCTTTGGACCTCGTTCCACGCGTCGACGGCGGTGGCTTTACCGCCGCTGATGAACCTGAGCCCCCGGAGCGCCTTCTGGGCTCCCGATCGGGTCCGATCCAGCTGCGCCCGTTGCC